GGGTGGGGGAGTTAAACATTTTGGGGGGGGGGAATCTTGCACCAGGGCCCTTTGTTCCTTAGGTTCGCCACTGAATAGTACATATTTTGCTTAGTTGCTATCATAGAAAATATATGAATACTACTATATGCTGTAAAATGTTGTGCTGGTTAAAACAAAACAGAATCCTGATATCATCCATGGGATTAAAATGACATTGTATAGCATACTGACATAATCTGTGTAAGCATGAAGTTATCTTTCTCTGTCCATAGTAGCTGGAACTTCCTGTGCTGATGAAGACGTCCGTACTGAGACAATATACTGTATGTGTACTGTCCAATTCTTGCCTTTTGCTGCCACATTCCTGAAAAAAAAGTGGTATCCATACATGACCGAATCCATAGATAATGTAAAATGAAGGTTTAAAGTGCATTTCCACTTTTGCAGTCAAATTTGAGAAACCCCGACTACAATGTGTCCCTATTCACGCAGCATACCCCCCCTCCGCTGCGGGCTATCCTGGGTAGATAAGCCATATCTGCACATCACCTCAATGTGGCCTAAAGGATGTCACCACTTCCTACCTCTGCGGAGATGAATAAACACAGAGTTCTGATGGGTCCATGATTTGGTTGTTTGTGTACATCTGCGGCAGACATATTCTTCTCCTGGCTGCACCTGCACAGTACATCCCCATTCACTTCTATGGGGCTTGTCTACCTTCTGCCCCATAGTAGTCAATGGAGATATACTGCACAGATGCAGCTAATGGAGGCCAGGCACATCAGAACTCTGTAAGTATTCATCTGTGCACAGGGAGACAGAAGTGACATCAGCTTAAAGGGGCCTAAAGGATAAGTGCTCTTAATTTTTAAGTGTACTTGTCCTTTGATCTGGAATATGTCATTGACACTCAAATTATATTATTTGCCTTCCAAAAGGATCACAATGCCTTCATCAATACCTTCATCTTCTGTGCTGCCAAACCAAGAGAGACCAGATTGGGCTGATTTCAGCATCTATTTTATCTGCCGATATAGGGGCTCATCGTATATACACTGGCAATGGCAAAGCCAATAGAAGAATAAAAAGAATTAATAAAAATACCTTTTACTGCTATTCTTTGAACAATTTTAGTTTGCTCACCCATGATCTTCAGATACCAGACCACAGATTCACAGTATACTACATGTTGCCATCTTTCCACAGCTCATCAAGACAGCCGATTTAGATCCTCAGTACAATTACCTTTTAGGATTTCACCCTCACGGAGTCCTAGTCGCTGGAGCTTTTGGAAATTTCTGCACAAACTACACCGGGTTTAAGGAGCTTTTCCCTGGCCTGACCTCATACATGCACATGCTTCCCTTCTGGTTCCGCTGTCCTTTCTTTCGAGAGTACATCATGAGTGTGGGTGAGTAAAAGGACCTTTTCTCTATTGTAAAAATGTTTAGCATGTTTTCAGTCTGTACCTATAGAAAATATAGGGTAGATGATGATGTCTTTTCATATACAGTAATACCTTGGTTTACGAGCATAATTCATTCCGGCAGCATGTTTGTAATCCAAAGCGCTTGTATAGCAAAGCGAATTTCCCCATAGGAAATAATGGAAATTCAGATGATTCGTTCCACAACCCAAAAATATTCATATAAAATGATTACATTACAGTACTGTAATATAATACTGTACAAAATATAAAGAAAAATAAACCAATTACCGGTACCTTCGTGGCCGTTGTGAGGGGGACGAGAGAGAGGAGGATTATTGTGTCACTAACGGTTCACTGCTATCTCTTGACTCAATGGAATCTTTTTCATTTCGTTAAACCTTAACAAGGAATCTATCCAATGTGACATTGCATTGCCGTTAAACATACTCATCGCTCGCACTGCTGCAGCCTTATTCGGGTGGTGCTTTTCTACAAAATTTTGCTCTCATTGCAAGACATTGCTTGTATATCAAGGCAAAATTTTTCAGAAATGTTTGCTTGTCTTGCAAAACACTCTCAAACCAAGTTACTTGTAAACCAAGGTATTACTGTATATGTTTAGTCTCTCACCATGTTATGTGACTATATTCACAAATATCAGAACCATGGAACAGCATGCATTATGTACAGAGTCTGCGCTGGCACAGTCTTATCAATTGAGAATAGAATAGGGGTATTTGCATATCATTTGAATTGCAGAGAGTCGTGTAATTCCTTTCAGTAGCTAATGCAAGGTTTATTGTCAAGTTTCCAATTTGACTAGATAAGGCAAAATAAATAAGGATAAACAATCTCTATCTGTCTCACTATAGCCTGTCAGATATACTGCATTTCAATTGCTTCTCAAGAGGGTGAGTCTGATACCCTTGCACACCTTCTGGAAAAACAGAAGGCATTTAAATCGAAAGTAATTCTGGTAAAAAGAAAATTGCCCCCAGGTTCTATTAACTAGGGGTGCACCGATACCAATTACCGTACTCAGTACAAGTACAGATACTTTTCGAGCTCCAAAACTAGACTAGAGAAAAATTCAAAAGTTAGGGGGCAGCTGTCATTTGGAAGGTGCACACAGAGCTCTGGGGATTTGTACATCTCTGTTTTAATGTATAGTTTTGACATATATATATATATAATGCGCCAACACCATTTTTACAAGTACTGATACATTTTTGTTTAGTGTCATGTGACAAACAATACAGACTAATGATTTCAGGACAGTGGTGGAGCGCCAGAGCCAGGTCCCAGCTGCAACCGCTGCAACCCTGGTAGTTCTCATGAAAATACCAAGTATCGGCACTGGTATCTGAACTGGTATCTGTGCATCCCTACTATTAACCATAATGTGCTAGTATGCACAGCACTTATCTGGCAAACCGATCTCCTCCCTCTCCAGCGCATCCATCTTTGGCTCAGTCCTCTTCCGGGTTTTGAGTTTTTGGCCGCTTGATTGCCTAGGACCTGATCATGTAAGTCCTGAGCATGCACATGTTACTTCATCTCAGCAGGCTGGGTCTGTGTGCTGACCTGCGCATGTGTGGCTCAGCATACAGAAGAAAAAAATTGGTAAAAAGAAGCTTTTATGGCAGAAGAAAGTTGCACAGCGCCTGCCAGTTGGCAATTTTTTATTCCCCTTACTTCCACTTTAAATGTCATTAAAAAAATAACAAGCGGTCTCTCGGTTTAAGATAGTGAAAATCCCTCCATTGGGCAACTCTGTTGGATTAAAATATGATAGCGCTATTAATTTAACATTGAATACAGCCATTCAGTAGCCTGAAACCAGTATATTTAAAAGTCAAATATGGCATCAAACTTTCTCAGACTTAGATGGTCAGATTCTCCTCCTAGATGTGAATATGAAAAAAAGTTTTCTTAAGTCCCAGTTCCCACCTCTTGGACCAAGGCTAACATGTTAATGATCCAGGAATGATTAAACTCTCAAACTTGTTTCAATCATAATTCCAGCTCAACACAAAACAAATATATCTTACACAGCAAAATATTTCTTTACAGTTTTGCCCAAACACTAAGTCATCATGTTTCCCAACAGCTCCAACTCTCTCAGCTCTGCTTCCCTGAACTTCCTGTCCAGTACAGAATCGCAAGGGAGAGCAGTGTCCACCTACTAGCAAGGAGGAGGGGGAAAGGAGGATGGAGGAGCAGGGAAGAGGCTTACCTTTCTGTGCCAGTGTGTTGTGTGGAGACACACACACACACACACACAGCTTACTAGCACACACAAGGGTGGCTCCATAGGACCCTGTAAGGCAAAGAAGCCACCGTAAAACATAGGGCCAGTGCTCTGGGGACCAACTGATTTTGCAGGAAACTTTTAAACATCAAGGAGCAGCATCCATAGGAAGTAGGGATGCAGTGAAATTTTGGCCGCCGAAACATATCGTCCGAAAATGGCACTTTTGGCAAAATGCTGAAAGTGCCATCTTTCGGCTGAAATTGCGGTGCATGCCTAGTTTCTCTCCTCCTCGCTGGGCGCTGCTCTGTGTCCCCTCTGACACAGTGCAGTGTCCAGTGGAGAGGAGAGAAACTGTCGGAGGAGGCCGAGCGGTGCAGGGGAGGAGTCAGCTGTCAATATAGACTGAGCTCTCCCACGCGCTCAGCTGTGACAGCCAGTCAGGATGGAGAGCGGGTACAAGCAATCAGCGATTAGTTGATCACTGACTGTTTGTTTGTAAATAATTGAGGACATAGTATTTACTTTGTACCTGTTATGAATGAATAGGAAGTGATCTACATCCCTTCCTGTTCATTCTTAATTGTTTACATAGTAAACATACTGAGGAGAATTTATCAAAACTGGAGCAGACAAAATCTGGAGCAGTTGCCCCTGGCAACCAATCAGCTTCTTTTTTTTAGTTTGTTCAGTTAAAGGAGAACTATGGGGTTAAGGCACAAACTAGCGTCCTCCCGTCACCCTAGGCTCAGTATACCGCGAGCTGTAGCTCGGGGTATACTGAGACGCCGCAGCTAAAGCGGATCCCGACCATTATGTCTGGATCCGCCCAGCTGCGTGAGTGACAGCTGGCTCTGCCTATCTAGAGGCAGAGCCAGCTGTACCCGCCCCCTCCCCTGTCCGTTCCGCCAGTCAGCGCTGTCGGATCGGAGGGGGGAATCCAGCCCCTCCCTTGTCACGGCAGCCGTGACAGGATCGAGAGGTGAGCGAACGCCGATATGTGTTCGCTCACCTTCCGATCTACTGAGCCGACCTGTGACAGTTTCATTGTCACAGGTTGGCTAGAACTATGAGGTGAGTGAAAAGCACTCACCTCATAGTTCTCCTTTTTAAGATTTGAAGACTAAACAGAGAAGCTGATTGGTTGCCATGCACAACTGCTCCAGATTTTGTCTGCTCCCGTTTTTATAAATTCCCCCCTCGGTATAGAGGATTCCTGTTCATTTATAACAGGGGCTGCAGAAAAAGAGATTGAGGACTCAGTGTCCTCAATCTCTCTTTCTATTTTAAAAGGGAAATATCAGGGGTCTGTTTATTTCACCGAAGCCCCCACAGTAAAGTTAAAAAATAAATACATAAAAATAAAATTATACATTTTTTTAAAGTTTATTACTAATAAAATATTTTAAAATGGTTAGAAAAAAAAGTCAGTTTCGGCCTGACATTTTTTTTTCGGTTTAAAAATGTTCATTTCAGTACACCTCTAATTGTAAGTGATTTCATCAGAATTTGAAATAGCTGCAAAACCTTTGTCTTTTAATATCACTTTAAAATTTGATGTATAGTTTTGTGTGTTTCAGGTTTAGTGTCGGCTTCTAAGAAGAGTGTGACCCATGTACTGAGCAGACCGCAGGGTGGAAATGCTGCAATCGTAGTGATTGGGGGAGCTGAGGAGTCATTGGATGCTCATCCTGGAAATCTAACACTCCATATCCTGAAGAGGAAAGGATTCATCAAAGTGGCATTGAAGAGAGGGTGGGTCTTATAAGAGTGATGATCAGTAATTGAAAACCTGTGACTGCTGGGATAGTGTAATCAATACTTGTGATGCACGGAATATGGTACAGTTTATCAGTTTATATTTACTGTAAGTCAAACTGACACTTGGGCCTCATTCACACTGCTTAGAGTTTGGAGCTTAGAGTACGGCCGCGTCCTCCCATAGGAAAGAGGAGGCTGCTGCGTACAATCACACGCAGCACCTGTCCTTCCCCGGAACGGCCCTGCACGCCGCACGGATCTGTACGGGCCAACTCTAAGCAGTGTGAATGAGGCTTAAAAGGAGTTATTACACAATGGTTGTGCTTTACTGCTCCTACAAATCAAGTCTAAAGCTGCCCATACATCCTTACTGTTATCTGCAGATTTTCTGTGGTCAGATGGAAAAGGTGCAACAGATTCCTCCATCTACACTGAACTGTGTGGATGGAGTAATCTCCACCTGGGCCAATCTGTTGCACTTTTTCCATCTGACCACAGAAAATCTGCAGATAAATTGTAAGGTGTATGGGCAGCTTTAAGGTGGCCATACACTCTACAACCATCGCAAGACCTTAGTCTTGCGATGGTTGTACAGGGATTTAAAAAACGTACGATCTGCCTATCTTGGACAGGCAGATCGCACTCTCGATCATCGCAAGCCCGCCCCCCTGAGGGGCGGGCTTCCGATGACCGCAATGCTGAACGGGCAGTGTGCGCGTGCGCACACCGGCCCGTTCGGCATTTGTCTTCCGAGCACCGTTCTAACCAGCCGAGAATCGTACGATTCCCGGCTGGTTTTCGAACATGCTGGTTCGACAGAAGACGTGCGAACGTACAGTAGAAACGGTCGCACGTCTCCGTTCACACTGCTCGATTCTCGTACGATCGCGGGATTTCCCGCGATTCTCGTACGAGAATCGAGCAGTGTATGGGCACCTTAGACGGGCCCGACTTACAGAAAGCAATGCATTCCCAGTCCAAATACGGATGTGCAAGATTATGAAAATGTGTATCTGAACTTACTGTAGGTAAACACTTCAATAATAACTACAGATGTGTGCTTGCTTAAAGAAGAACTCTGGGGAATTTCTTTCTTAACTCTTGCAGTGGGGTTATCCCTGCACTGCAATTATCCCTGCACTGCAAAGCTTAAGTGCTCATTTTGGTCTAGGGTGGAAAATAAAAAAGTTATACTCACTTGATCCTCGGAGCTGACTTAGACCATTCCCTTCCGCCTCACTCCCCCTCTAAGGTCCCTGAGTCATCAAGAATCTATACACAGTGTATAGGACGCCAGGGGATATACCATCACTAGAGCGGAGGAAGAGACAGGCAGGAGGAGCACTGTCACAGCCAGCCGGCTCTGAGGATCAGGTGAGTATCACTATATTTTCCTCCCTGGACCAAAACGAGCACTTTCCTCCCTAGCCCCACTGCAAGGGTTAATAAAAAAAAATGTCCCTGGAGTTCTGCTTTAACATACATTATACATACATATATATGCGGCATCACAGTGGGCTTTCTTCCATGGTGCCGCATATGTACAGCATGTGTTTTGGGGTTGATCTAGTGTAGTGTTAGTGTCAGTATTGGTGTCAGTGCAGTGTGTTTTTGGGCCCTACTCTGGGTACAAATAACACACACATAAGTGGTATCATCGTGAATGTCAGGAGTTATTTTTGCTC